TTAGTATTTGTGTTATTAATAAATACTATTGCAGTTAATTTTCTATGTCATTCAAGATGATAATCTGCCAACCTTTCAGTAACTTCAAACTCAGAATAGCAAATTCCTTTCATCTTCAGCCCATCACTAAGAGTAACGCAGATGCCATGTGGTATGGCCTTGCCCTTAGATCGAGACCTGATCCAATGGGCTGTGTGGAAGGATGAGCTCTCCCCTTCCCTGGTCTCCTGCAAGCTCCTGGTGGTTTCCTTCCTCAGGTCTCATGCTGCACTCACTGCACCCAGGACAGGAGATTCACAGTCCTTCAAGGTTCCCCAAATAGCATACTCCTGCAGAGGTTCATGAACCAGGAAGACTTTGCCAATAACTTCCCAAGAATGGTAGTGGAGGGAAAAACAGTGCAGGTTCACAGCTTTCACAGACACAGTACAGTCTCAAAAGAGTCCAGCCACATCGTCACTGTGACATTTCTTGCACTGATCTTTCTGCCCACCCTAGTTTCTTGCCTTCCTTCCCACTGTTTTTCCCTCTTCTTATTCTCCCTCCTCTCCTTTTAGAATCAAAAAGCACAATCCTTCCCTTCTGTCAAGCATGGCAAACTCCTCCTCCTCTGAAGCCTTGTTCAAGGCATTCTTAGAACAAAGACAGCCTTCTTCCCAAGAGAAATTACGGTGAATAAAATTTCCTCTGCCTCATTACACATACAAGGGTTGGAATCTTTTTAAAGTTCTGTCAGTTATAAATTGCAAACAAGCAGCTGCAAAACTCTCTCAAGATGAGTCTGTCCATGGACTCAGCTATTGCTCCTCAGAACCAGGTCACCAAATGGCTCAAGGCGTCCAGGATCTTTCTATCTCGGGAACCTCCAGCTTCTAGAGCCACCTTATCATGCCATCCAAAGTCCTCCCACTTTACAGTCAAAGAGGCCACCCAGATTCCTCCAGCTGGGTAGCCACCGCTCAAGGCTCTCTTCCAGGATACCAGCCACTGGCCCTGAGAGAGTTTATCATAGACATGAGCCACTGTCTATTACTGACTAGCACTGTGGAGGAGCCTGGTCCATCCCAGAAACCACAGGTCAAGGAAGGCAGGCTGAAGTCAGACTCCTCCTGCTGTCTCTAATTCATCACTGAAAGATAGAGATGACATTGCAAAACAGTCTGCCCGAACTGGAGCTGGTGGGGGCTGGGTCACTTCTTTGCTGGCTTAGGGGTCACACACAGGGCCCTCCTAGAGATTTTAGGGCCTAGAAGATCTTCTGCAAGTAGAATCCAAAGGACTGCCAGGTGCTCCTGGATAATCTCCAACTCAAATGCTTAGGGGAAGGGAGAAGTAGTTCTTTTTTTTTTTTGAGACAGGGTCTCACTATGTAATTGAGACTGATCTGGAACTCACTACATAGCCCAGGCTGGTCTCGAACTCACAGCAGTCCTCCTGCCTCAGCCTCCTGAGTGCTGGGATTACAGGCGTGAGCCACCACACCTGGCTGGAGAAGTAGTTCTTTCTGGAAAACCTATCAGATCTCTGACGAGGGGAAGGAGCATGTGAAATGTGAATTCTGAAATTGCTGTTGCTCTGGTTGTTTTCTAGGCTGTAAATATTTAAGTTGCTTTGGCATTTCAATTAAGAGTAGAAAGAAAAAGTAGAAAAAAAAGCCTGTATTGTTTTTATTTAATGATAGAAGACAAAGGATAAATATGTTTTAGTGATGCACAAGAATGTTGGAGTCTTTCAAAATGCAACATTTGGGGCCAGTGATTTAGCCCAGTGGTTCCGCTGCCTGCCTTGCAAGTGCAAGGACCTGAGTTCAATCCCCAGTATCAAAAAAACAAAAAACAACAACAAAAAAAAAACCCTAACAATGCAACAGGTGAAGAAGTAAACTGAATCAAGGGAGGAAACAGTAAAATAAAATGGTCTGAGAGTGAGAGGAAAGTGGGTTGGGAGAAGAGGGGTGTGAGCCCCTGGAACGGGGAGCATGCAGCCCTGTACCTGCTCATCCATCTCCCAAAGTCCCTACTTGCTCTCAGTAATCTAAGGAGTACTGACACACCTGCTGCTATGTCTGGATCTTGAATGATCCCAAAGGCTCACGTGTTGAGGGCTTGCTCACCAGACTGTGGCACACATCAGAACCTTTAAGAGGTAGGCCTAACTGAAGTAAGTCAGGTTCCTGGAGGCAGGCCCTTGAAAGAGGTATTAGAACCATGGCCTTTCCCCTGCCTCTCTTTTTCATTTCCCATGCCTCATGAGATGAGCAGCTTTCCCCTGCCCGATACTTCCCACGATGACACGCTGTCCCACCACGACATGCTGTCCCACCACAGGGTAAAAGGCAACAGGGCCAAGCAACCATAGACTGAAACCTCTGAAACCAGAGAAAAAATAAAACTTTTCTTCCTATAAGTTGATTCTCATAGGTATTTTGTTACAGTGAACAAAAGCTAACCAATACATTTCCCCACCTCTCAGGTCCTCCTTCATCACTTTCAATGGGCCTCAAAGTTCACTGTATGTTCTGGAGTATAAATGCAGGTACATTTATATTGGAATTTGGAATTGTGATTGTACCTAGTTTATAAAGTTCTAGGGGTTAGGGATGTGGCTCAGTGGTGCTGTGCCTGCCTGGCAAGCATAAGGTCTTGAGTTTGATCCCCAGTACTGAAAGGAAAAAAAATAAAATTAAAAATTAAAAAATTAAGTTCTGGAACTTTCTACGATGACACATTACCTAGCTTCAGTAGGTAGTTTCTTGAGTTGGGTGCTTTTCTAAAATCTTATGTAATTGCATTTAAGAGAATCCAGATAAAGCCTAGAAGCATGAATCTTTAAAAATGGCAGCATAGAGAGACAAATAAGGCCAGGGAATAAAAACCTGAGCCCTTTGTTCTTGCTGAAATACTGTGGGAAACAATATTATCAGGGTAATCCCACACTCCATGTTGCTGGGCTACTACCCAAGCTCAATGGAAATGTGGACCCAGAAGCCCTGTAGGCCTTGTGCTTCCTTACCCCACTTCTCACTTCATGGCTTTCCTCTCCCACAGCTGGCCTACACCAAGGCTATAGGAAGTCAATGCTCAGCCAGGAAATTGTGGTGAAGTACTATCCAAACAGGGAGCTGTCTAGAGACTCAATGACTACCAGTAGGGTATGAGCTCAGAACAGAGCTCAGGCCTTTGGTTAGCTGAGTGACCTTGGGCAAGACCCTTAAACTCAGGTTACCTGAACAGGAATGCTAAATGGCTAAGAGTAAGGGTCTGGAGACAAGCAAACCTGGGCCCATACTCTGGATCCACCACTGACCAGCACTGTGTACCTGAGACCTAACTTCTCTTTACCTGTAAAATGAAACATATAATAGTATTCCCTCTTAGCTTGATTGTGAGTTAAGCTCATGAACTATTATGTGTAAAATTTACCACAAAAAAGATAAATGTTTGATAGCTATCAAACAGATAATCTTGCTGATTTGAACATTATACAATATATACATGCACTGAAACATCACACGGAACCTCATTACATGTCAATTTAAAATAGGCTCACAGTTTTCCTTGCTCGGTGTGTTTAATAAATATTTGCTACTTTATATGTATACATATTCCTATACACACTTCTCAATACATATTAAAGGCCCTTGAAGATATGCTTAGAGTGGCCAAAACAACTTTTTAAAAAAAATTTACAATATCAAGTGTTGGTGAGGGAGTGGAGCAACTGGAATTCTCATACACTGCTGATGAGAGTTTAAAATGTACAGTCACTTTCAATGGCAGTTTAGCAATTTCTAACAAAGTTAAATATTTATTGACTGCACTTACTACATGAGCCAGCAATCCCAGTTCTAGTTATTCACTCAAGAGAAATGAAAGCAAACATCCACACAAACAATGCTCATAGCAGTTTATTCATAAAGTCAAAAACAAGTAAGAGCCAAGTAATCAAGTGAATGGATAAACAGATTCTAGAAGATCCTTTCAATAGATCAGTACTCAGCAATAAAAATGAATGAACTACTGACATATGAAGTAATATAAATGTATCTCAGAAGCAAATGGTAAGGGAAAGAAGTCAGACAAACATAAAAAATTCCATTAATACGACATTCTGGAATCGGCAAAACAATAAAACAGAAAATAGATGAGTGGCGAAGAGGGATGGGAGAAATTGATTATAAAAAAAATAAGCAAACATGTTAGGGTGATGGAAATGCTTTACATCTTGATCATGGTGATGGACACGTGATTGAACACATTTGTCAAAATTCATAGAACTGTGTACCTAAGCAAGGTAAATTAATTAACAACTGTTATTACCTAGGAGAGGAGAGAGCTGGGTAGGGAGGATAACTAAAGGATACCTTTTTGTTCTACTTAAACACATCTGTACTTTTTAAACTTTTTTTTCCAACATTGGAGATCAAATCAGGGTCTCATGCATGCTAAAGTGCTCTACCACTGAGATGCACGCCCAATCCTGCTTGAACTTTTGTAATGAGCACATAATTTATGTTCTTGGTAGTATTTTAACTAAGGTCTTTAAAAAATAATTATAATAATAATAACAACAACAACATTATCTATCTTGAAGAGATGTTGTGAGATCCAAAGGAAAATATGAGAAAGCACACAGCATAGTGTATGAATTCTTTCTAGGTAAAGAGATAGGTGGATAGTCAGACAGTGTTACCTTCCTCTCACCACTCAACTCCATGTCCTCTTTACTCCCCACCCCTACCTTCAGGTGGCCCCCACATTCCAAAGTAACAAAGTACAGAGGCCAAGAGACCTCCATTAAAAGTGACAGCCAAAATGCCGGGTGTGGTGGCACATGCCTGTAATCCCAGCACTCAGGAGGCTGAGTCAGGAGGATCGCTGTGAGTTCGAGACCAGCCTGAGCTACACAGTGAGTTCCAGGTCAGTCTCAACTACATAGTGAGACCCTGTCTCAAAAAAAAAAACAAACAAACAAACAAAAAAGTGACAGCCATAACCTACCTCAGTGACAAACAGTGTGCGAGGGTCGATGATATCCAAGAAGTGCCTGAAGCGGCCATAAAAGGATGTCTGGAAAAGGGTAGGAAAAGGCGAGATCAGCTGCTGTACACTGTCCTCTGGACACTGGGCACCCCATACCAGTTCACCCTTATGATGGGGTCCCCCACTCTCCAGGGTACCCTGTATGATGGATGAATTCCAATGAGGCCTCACTGCTCAGGGACCTGGGAGCAGCTTTCCCAGGGCTAAGGGCTTCCTAAGGTCAACTCAGAGAGACCACTAAGATACTCCTTCTCCTCCATTGTCCTGAGACCTCTTCTGAGCTTTTCAGAAGCCCCCAAACGTCACCGGCCATGGAGACTGTGGGTGAGGCCTGTAGAACCCAAGCATGATAGCACCATGCTCCCAGCCCACAGGACCTCCTTCAACCCACAAGTTGCTGAGAGGTTCGGGTACAGGACAAAGGGTCAGCACACACCCCCCCACCCCCACCTCCCTTACCCCAGAGCAGGGGCCCTGGAAAAGGAGGGCTTTGTGCTAAGCAGGCCACAGACACTGGAGCACAGTGAAAGGAAACCAAGCAACACTGCTACTGGGCCTTCTGCCTTGGGACAAAGCCAGCTGGGCAAAGCCAAGCTAGCGGGAGAAGAAAGAGTGCCAAACTTGGGGATGAAGGGGAAGACCGCAAATGCTGCGGGGTTCATGCCTCACTACACTCTGGGCTCTGCCCCAAATTCCTCCCAGAGCCCCACATCTCTCCAAGTACCATCCTCTGCACAGTGGGAGAAACAGAAGCCTCCACACACCCTCCCCCAGCTTACTAGGGCAGCAGACCCTGCAGTCAAACTCCAGCCTTTTCCTTCCCAATGCAGATCCTGCAATGGGCCCTGGGTTACCTCCAAGTTCCCACACACACAATGCCCCTTCCGCCTCCCCTTCTCTGCTCACCCTGGGAGCAGCCACATGGAGCAAGCTGCCTGCCTGTCCCCTACTTCCTCTCTCCTCCAGGGGCCAACTACAGATAAGCCTCAGGACCAATCCCAACTAAAACAATTGTTTTTCTAACCTCTTACTGCTCAAAGGGCCTAATATTTAGAACCTAAACCACCTACTACTTGAGTCATGCATACATGATGCTCACACTCTTGTCTTGGCAAATTTTAATCTCTAAGAATTTAGTCTAAGAAAACAATCAGAATGTTCAGAGATGTGGTCAGAGGTACAGGTTGGAGATAGTCACTTCTGTACTCTTTATAAAGGTGGATGGTTAAATAAACGGTCCATTCGTATGCTTTTTGAACATGATGCAGCCATTTAAAAATCACATTTTTCAGGCAACAGTTATGACATGGAAAAAGGCTTGATTTTGTAAAATGCACATAAGCAGTATTGTTCCAACTTAATAAGCAAGGAAATAAATAGAGATAGGTGAATAGCAAATGAAAAGCAAAAGACAGGATGATGTCCAGATCCTGCACCAATAAAAAGAGCCAGGGTTTGGTAGGGAAGTGGCTGATTCCATGGCTGGGGCAGGGAAGGTATAAGATGAAACTGTATTTTGTTTTTGTTTTGCTTTTGTGCCAGAATGTAATGAAGTACCAGCTCTGCCCACAAAGTGACAGGGATGTGTTCATGGGACCACTGAGGGGCAGAGGAACATTATGTACCTTGACATATTATCCCTGAGAAGACCACAGCATCACCAACATAATATGACAGAAAGACTAAATCTAATTACAAGGAAATACCAGATAAACAATAAAATAACTGGCCTTGCTTATCAAATATGTCAATGTCATAAAGCCAAAGAGAGACTGGGAAACTGGTCCACAGTAAAGGAAATTGAAGAGACTGCTAACGTGTGATTTCAGATTGGATCCTAGATTAGAGGAGGAAATGCTTTCAAGAGCATTATTGAGACAAGTGACATACCTCCAATATAGATCATAGACAAATAAACAGTGTTAGATGAATGTTAAATTTCCTGAACTCAATAACTTCACTATGTTTATAAAGAGAATATCTTTGTTCACAGGAAACATTCACTGAAGTAGTAATAGATACATGGATGTAAATACTCTCGAACATCTGAGGAAAAAGAACATGGAAATATACAGGGCAGCCACCAAATTGGAAATACAGGTACTATTATTTTATTATGCCAAAGAAAGAGGATGGCTTTAATGCTATCACATATATTAGCTGTTTCCAGACTTTCTGATCACTGGTAGATAAAGAGTATAACAAGGACATGGGATAAATTGCTAAAAACTGGTGAATCCAGGCAAAAGGCAAATGGAAGTTTTCCTTAGGGCTGCAAGGCAACTTTTCTATGAGACTGAAGGTGTTTCAAAATAAAACGTTAGAAACCATATTTTTCAAAATGCAAGGTGAAAATATATTTAAATGTTAATAGAGAATGCCTCTGGGTAATAGGATTATGGGTGATTTTATTCCTATATATTCAAAACTGCTTTTAAAATGAAAAAAACAATATTAGATATCATATATAGAAGTTTGTTTTTTTTTTTTTAGTATATAAATTAAACTTCAAACCCCTATGTTAAATAATATAGCTGATAATCTTCCTAAGGGCCTGGGCTATTGCACACTCCTTCCTGATCCTCTTTGTTTTATTTTGTTTTTTGTTATTTTTCCTGAGACAGGGTCTCACTAAGTTCAGGCTGGCCTTGAACTCACTATGTAGCCCAGGCTGGCTTCCAACTCAAGGTGACCCTTTGACTGCTGGGATTACAGAAGTGCCCACCATACCCAGTGGCTCCCTTCTCTTTACACACCCAGAAATGGCTCCACAGATACACTTGCTGTGGAATGAGTGAGTGCAGTGATGAACAGCCAAAGGCCATGCAGGCTTCCTGAAGCAGGTGGAGCCCTGGCTGGGCTTTGAGGGGGAAGATGGGATTAGAAAGAGGATAATGTTTATAGGTTTGTGGTCCAAGAGGGATGAGGATAAGCAGTGGTGGGAGTGAGAACCCTTAAAGGGAATTCTAGAAGATGCTCAGGGAGACACTTCCAGCCTGCAACTTGACCCGTGGGCTTGATCCAGTTCCAACTCTTCCAGCCCTCTTGAATTACTTTCCACTACGGCTACTGGAGGAGTGTGGGCAGCATTTGCTCCACAGACAGCTACAAACTCTTACTAAGCAAGGAAGGCTCTGAACATCACAATGAAAAAGCCTTCCAGGACCTCAGAGCCATCAGGAGAGATAAGTAACCACAAACAAAAAAAAAAAGTAAACAAATAGTCACAAAACAATGTGATCAGTGCTCAAATGAGGCATCACAAGTAACACTAAGGAACACCAGGATTTCTTCCTTGTGGGAGTCACAGTGGCAGAGGAGCTGAAAGTAGGAGGGGGCTGAGTTACCCCGAAGAAATGGTGATAAGCAAGACTTAGAAGACATGAAGGTGGACAGCAGAAACTGTACCAGATACCTGGGCTGCCTTCATTCACTCTGTTCCACTAGCCGCCGTGGCCTACTGTGTGTCCAGCACTGGGCGGGGTGGGGTGAGGTAGCAAGGTTCACTGACATTGGGGGAAAGAGGAAGAACATAAATCCTGGATGATGCCTAGATTTCTAACCAGGCACTATTGCTTATTAACCAGGAGAAGGAAAGCAAGAAGCATACTCTTATAGTGAAGAGGAAGACAAAAATTTTGTCCTGGACATGTACATTTGAGATACATGTAACTTTTCAATAAACCCTTGGAAATAAAGGTCTGAGATGCATGAAAGAGGTTCTGAACTGGAATGCTAAATAAACACATAGGATCCTAGCCCAGCCACCCTCAAGATCCTGAGGACTAACCTGTGGCCTAACACAATATGGTTTACTGAATTATTACAAGAAAGTCCACACAGCAAGGGAATGATAGGGCAGGAGCTGAGGTGCCTCAACATATAAAGGAAAAGACCGAGTCAGTAATTGATGCCTGAAAAGGGGGGATAAAATTGAAATGTGGCAGTGTATCAACACTTTCAACAAAGCAAGACCATGTGTGTGGAAAGGGTCAAGCTAGGTCTGGCCTAATAAAACTCAGAGCCTTGTGAAAACTACAAAGTTAAGATGTGTATGAGCGTGGGGTGTGGTGGTACATGCCTCTGATTGGGAGGCTGAGGCAGGAAGAGTACCACAAGTTGGAGGCCAGTCTGAACTATATAGTGAAACCCTGTCTAAAAAAAAAAAGATTAGTGGTGTAGGATGTTGGTTCCAGAAACTCTTTATTTGATTAAAGCTAACCACCGGGGTTGCCTGTGAGGCAAAGTGACTTAGCTGTCCATTACAGGCTTCATTCCTACTGACATGATTTAAACAGCAAAGTTCCTGGTAATCCATGATTTTTAAAGAATGAAATCTCCCAATGATGCTTACTCAGAAAAGTCAGCCCTTTGCTGGGTATGGTGGTGCTATAATCCTGGTAATTTAGAGGCTGAGGCAGGAGAACTGCTGCCCAAGTTCAAGGTTCAAGGTCACCAGCCTGAGTTAAATAATGAGATCTTGTCTCAAAAGGGTGGGGGGGTTAGCTCAGCAGCACCAGGCAAGGTCCTGAGTTCAACCCCTGGTACAACAACAAAAACAAACAAAAAAAGAAACACAATTTTTGAGAATACTCTTTCTGCAAACAATGGCTTTATCTGTGTCTGTCCTCCCTGAAAGATGAAGGACAAGCAAGGACTTTCATTTTTATTTTCACAATACTTTAAAATGTATAGTCCTTCCCTTTTCCCTCTAAAATTCAGTCCCATCTTTATTCAATCACACAGTGGATAATTTCCTCCCCTTTTTCTTTACCAGAAAAGTGAGTCAGCTAAATGATACCTTCCTTTTCCCTGCACAAGAAAGGTGAGTCAGCTAATCCTCTGCAGGGGCCCTGCAGCAGGCTGCCTCCCCTGTCCCCGATGTCCTTTCCCTGGAGGCAGGCCTGCAGGGAAGGGACAGGTCTTCTGGGCAGAAGGAAGGCAGCAGCCTGAGAACAGTCTCGCTTCCCTAGACTGAATTACAGTGCTTCAGGACTATTGGAGATAAAATATTCACTGAGCCTATA